GTGGGACCGGTGGGTGGGCGGGTGGAGGGATGGAGAGAGGGACGAGCGGGACCAGCGAGCAGGTGAGACCTGCCTTTCCCTCTAACTTCAGGGACTCTGCCATTTGCTCTGCTTAAACCTTTATTTCCTGTACCTCAGCCAGCCGTACAACAAAAATTGGTTTTATCGCTGCATAACCCCTCTCAGCTTCTTTCCAACAGTGATGTGGGCGATAATTACATCGATATTGGCTCTGATCCTACAAAATCTGTAACAAAAAGGCAGAAAACCCCTGAATGGGGTCAGGATTGGGCCCCAAAATCCCTAGTTCTCTTTTAAACATCAGTAATGAGAATATGTGGGAGATGAAATTTTTTATTAAGCGGAAAAACTCACCGTCATTCATCATTACTTGAAAATTTATCAATTTGGAAGTTTAAAAGAGATAACAATAGATACAATTACTGTTACATTTAATAAAGACAAATGATCGCATGATTGACACTCACAGATTTAAAAGGATTGTTTCTTGTTTGTACAACAGGCCAAGCGTGCCGGATACTTGAAACAGCTCCTAAAACACCATTCACACCATAACAATGCATTTTCTGCACTTACGGTAGAGTGACTACATATCTAGATGTTAATTTGTCTCCTCCATGTCTGTTTTATAACTGCAATTTTGGTTAACCATAGCTTCTTAGAAAATGAGCTTGGCTTCTCCTCAATGCAGACATAGAATTCAAGCAGCCTTGTAATAAAAATCAGAAGTTGGTACATCCTAACCATGCATTTCTAATTCCCTGTTTGATTTATTTTTATACTGATTCTCGGTATCATGCTGTGAAAACAAAAACTCTTGTGGTCTCCAATACGGGGAGGGGGGTGGGGTGGGGGAAACAAGACCAGGGATCAAACTGCTGCCACACAACCGGCCCTTTATAAAGGTTCAGGTCCCCTTGTGCAGAGCTGGCTGCTGTGCCAGCGTAACGCCTGGTTCTAGGTGTCAGCCCAGGAAAGGTGATGGGAAGCATTAGGTTGTTGGGTATGGAAATGTCAACAGAGGCTCAGCACTCTTCAGCTTCAACCAAACAGTGGGATAGGAAGAGGGGATAACCCCGAAACGCAAGCATTTGGCGGTACTGGCATGAAAACGGAACCAAGGTGCGTGAAAGTCATGGTTCAGCTCTAGCTGGACTGGCCTGTTGGTCCGAAACCAGCCTGGGCACTTCGACCACATCCTCCTGCCTTGGAATGAGCCTTAGGCACACAGGCAGCTCCACGGTTCTCTTCTGAAAGAAATCACCTCCGTAACACAAACTGAAAAGCGTTTATCGACTTGAATTTCACCTGAACTTGCGCGGAGTGGAGACCCTACAATAACAGCTAATCGTTTGCTTCCTGCTTGCCAAAGGGCCGACACATTCCCAAATACTCTGAAAGTGTTTAACGAGACACTTCATGCAGTTAAAAATGTAAAGTGAAAAAACAAGACCTTCCTATTTGGTGCACATGCAAAATTTGGGACAGGAACTCAGAACAGTCGTTAACATGCCTCAGAGGGCATGTTAATAGGATCAGAAAGAGGGGTTTACCACCTGCAAGTCAGCAAGGGCAACAGGCAGGGCGAGGTGGATGTGGTGGCACAAAGCTTCAGAGGAAAAAGAGGGACAATGAAGATAGAGCCTTCTTTGTCAAAACAAGATGGGAGCGAATGAGGTATTGATACTTCAGTAGGGCAATACCAACGTATCTGTCTATACGTAGGCATGCAGTTGCTTGGCAGCTTACTCTCGCCAGCCACACTGTCTCTGCTTTGCTCTGCTTCGATGACACGGGCTCTCCGATACATTTCGCAGCCCTCAGCTTCCCACTTGTGCTTGGAAAAATAATGGCAACAGGGGAAGTTCAAAAGGCAGTTTAACGAATCTCCAGAGTAAGAGCACACTGCTAGGACACTGCTGGAAGGCCTTCCCCTCCCTCCGGCCTCTGCTGGCTAGATGCGTCCTTCAGTATTAAAATAATTCTCCAGGACTGTCATGAACAGGGGTTGGGAAAATTAAGATCTCTTCTGTCATCATGTAACGGAAACGAATACTGCTCAGGGTAGGTGGCAACAAAAAAACGCCTTCCTGCCTTCCTAGGGGTGGGGGGAAAGGGAAGGGGAAAAAAACCCACCACAACACAAAAAACCCCAGAACAAACCAAAAATTGTCTAACCAAAATTTGATGCTGAAACTTCAAACTGTAATGAAAAAAACACCACAACTTCTAACAGCAAGTTAATATCCTCCTGTAGACCTCTCCCCAAGCTCAGACTCAGTTTAATCACCGCATAAATGTCAGTCTATCTTCAAGCCTACTTTGCGTTAGACGGGCATCAAGTTCTAAGTGAATATAAGAACTCAAGTTTTTACTGTCAAATGTCAATTTGCCCCCCTCCCAAACTGCGTGCACCTCTCTCTTCCTAGAAATTAACAGTACCCCTCAACTCCTACAGCAGTTTTAAAAAGAACGAAAACCCCAGACTAACACAAATGTGATGTTCACTCACATCGGGTCTACAGAAAGCTGTCAAAGAAATATGGAATGCTTTAGGACAGTAAAGAGACTGGTTTCTACCAACTGAAAAAAAAAAAAAAAACAACAACAAAACAAAAAAGAAATACGTAGCTAGAGGGCAGGGGGAAAAAAACACAGGTAGGGAGGCATGAGATGGCGGGAGGGGCAATCCAGCTGTGACTGAACATTTTGTTCACTCAGTAGTCCTAAAGGTGTGACTGAAAATAACCTCCCAAAGTCGAAGCCTCCGCAAGATTAAGTGCAAAGAACAGATGTTACCATTTAGCAGCAGATTCGTGAGGTAGAACAAAATGCCTGGTACCACAGCTGCGTGGATGGGAACTTTGCTTCTTGCCTTTAGAAGAGAGGAAACAAAAATGCATAGGTCTGGTTTGAGTATTGATGTTTAATAGCTTGTTTCTCGTAAGAGAACAGGGGATGTTTTCTCTTTTAGAAATACAGGTACCAGTTGAGCTTTAAATACAGCCTGCTCCTGCCAACAGGACATGTACATCATTTATTTGGCTTCAGCTTTTGTTTTTATGCATTAAGCAACCTTCAACCTTCTTTTGTAGTACAATATATAGAGACAAATTTAAGTACAGCAATATCGTAGGTATTTTACTGTCTTCACATTTTTGTTGACACACTGGACAAAGCGATACACATCAGTCTGCCCCCAAGCCCAGGTTTCATACAAAGCACGTCGAGCACTGCTTTCAGTGGCACACTCAACTCGCTCCCACATTTAATTTGCCGAATCTACAGAAACAAATCCTTTGGGAAGATCAGGAGTTATTTTTAACTTTGTCCAGTGACATTCAAATGCCCAGGCAACTACCGAGAGCTTTCATTTCATGGTTACTACAGATGTCGCACTCTGACAGGAAAAAGAAAGTTTTAGAACTGGACAAGCTACAGTAATCCCGGTTTTGGTAGAAGAATTATATACAAAAAGGGGACTTTTATATATAGTTTTCAATCTGTAGGTTCATTTTTCAAAATAAAACCTGTATATATAAATGGATAACATTCAAGATCTGTATATGAATTAACAGTTGCTTTCTGGCTAAAACAATATATTTAGACAGAATCTCACTTTCTGTTTTTCACTTCAAGTATGCTAGCCGGTCCAGTCCTTTGGGGAAAGAGAAAAAAAAAAAAACCACGAAAACAAAAAACCCAAACAAACTTCCATTTTTAAATCCTTTAGGATCCATCAGATTCATTATATGGTAATGACCTTAACTTATACAATATGCTATATTATGCAGTGAACTGGAGGGGATTAGATATGGAAGTACTGGTCTGGGTGCAGTAAGCCAAACAGCTGTTTAAACATGATACTACAGCTGAAGTAAGTCTCTGTCAGAATAAAAACCAACATTCAGGAAAACAGCAGCAGCCATCAAAAACGTTCACAACTGCAGGGATTTTTTTACTGTGTGTAATTTTGCATTATAAGTAGGAGAAGCCACAATAGTTTAAAGCAAAACCTAAAAAAAAAAAATCATACCACTATAGTCTTGAATTTAATAATGTGAATTGTCACTCTCTTATAGCTGTTTATAGAAGTGTACTAAAAAAATTTACTTAAACATATGAATTTAAGACTTTCACTTTATTCAGCAAATTGGTTTATTTACACAATGGGGAACGCTGGTTGAATGCTGTCAATGTAATAAAAACAAATCTAACAGAGACAATACTGAACTCTCTCTATGTATTCATAGCAGAAATGACAAACTATTTCCTTACCTGTATCGGGAACATCAAGCGCAACAACGGGACAGTATCATAGGACACTGATTTAACAATAAACCACAGAGGTCCAGTCATACTATGGCAATTTACTCATGTATTTACTGACTTTAAAAAAAAAAATAATTAAAAGTCAGCAATACCCAGTATAAAGTTCTGTCAATTATCAGAGTCAAACTCTGACGAGTAGGTCAGTAAAACCTTATCAGATCATCCACAATTCATAAAGCGACCTCATCTGCTTCAGGCCGCTGAATACAGAAATAAAATTGATGAGAACAGATTACCCTCTAAAAGGCAACAATGATCTGATAAGGGTTTAACTTAATGGAAGTTTAAAAAAAAAAATTGAGAATTGCAGAGCACAGCCCCTATTAGAACAAGCTAACTTTCCAGACTTTCAAAAGACAAAAAAAAAATTTTGAGAGAAAAAAAAAACCCACTTCAACATGAAGCTACCATACAAAGTTTTTTTTTTGTTGTTTTCCTTTTTTGTTGGATTTTTTTTGTTTGTTTCTTTTTTTCTTTTAAGAGTTCAGAGTTGCAATTTAATCCTGGCTTTTTAGTGAGAAGGACAGTTTTGGCCTAGACTTTCCTTTGCCCAGGATAATTTTTTGCTCTTCCTTTTGCTGACGTTGTCTCTCTTGTTCTAGTTTCATCCTCTCCTCATGAATCTTTCTTTGCTCTTCAACAATTTTCAATTGTTCTTCAGCCTATATATGAAAATGGTAGAATTTAGGCCAGCATATTTTGTAGTCATGAAAGCAATTTACAAGTCCATATGAACGTCCAAACAGGTCCCATCCTGCACAGGTATGTAAGCAGTTCTACCCGAGCTAGATGCCAGAGTTGGTTTCAGCGAAACTATTTATAAAACAGTTATTTGAACTGAGTTTAGAAGAAACACCGAGAACCTTCTACAGGCAGCGTATCAAAATATTGAGTGCTGACATGAGAGGTTTTTCAGCACGGCCTTGCATGAGGAAGTCAGCATTTATCTAAATTCCCCTGACACCTGTCACGTGTCAGATGAAGGCACAGTATAATGAAGTAACAGACCTTCAAACAGAGGTCTCCCCGCTCCAAAACCCATCTAAAAACCCCTCCTAATTCAAAACCATTTTCACTGGCTTCATAACAGGTCAATCCTTATGATGACTTATGGTTCTTACAGCTCTTCCAGTGGTCTTCTAAACATGCTTATTTTGTTTGTTACATCAGTTAGTACTCTAAATTTTCTGTTTGTCCCATTTCCACCATATGAGATTGAGAAAAGGGTAAAACAGAAAGAGATCTAAAGCAGATGTAGTGCAAGTAAACAGTTTTAAGATGCATCACCTTTACCTGAAAAAGGTGTAACTACCTAGGTAACTGAAACTGATTCTAAATCAGTCAGGATTTAGAAGAAGCTTAGTTTGGCTTATCGTTAATTGATGTGAATCAGCTAAATCACAGCGAATGCTCTCATGAGGCAGGCACCTGCTTAAATAGGCTTGGAGACCAACATAAGCTCGACTTTCATAACTTGGACATCTTAAGCTTATGCTGAAAGCCCCTTTCAGTGCTTCTACATCAACATTATACTAGTCTCAAAACCAGTTTGTACTTCTCCTGCTCAACAAAACAGAATTAGTCACTTCTGTTCTAGAAGCTGAGTGCGTTTCCAAACTTACTTCAATTTTCCATGTGAGAGAGAGTTAGAAATGTACTTTTTAACTTCTGAAGACAGCTATCTTCCTCTAAATTAACTGCGCCTGAACTATTTTTTCAGATCAGTGTTGCTGCTAAGCATCTGGTCTCTTACGCTTAAGGGAAGGAGAGCAATGCTGCTGACATAACCAACAGCAGACAAGTTAAACTCTAGAACGGGTCGATTTGTTTATTTTAACTGCATTGCAAATCAAGCAGAGGGACCTGTATTCCCCTATAGAACAGTGAACTACACCTCCACATACCAGTTTAGCTTGTGCTTCTGCAATTTTTCGATTATTCTCTTCTAGTATTCGCTCTAGTTCCTCACGCTTTGCACGCTCTTCTTCCTAAAGGGGAGGACAGGGCAAGATGTTAGTAAAGTAAAATACTCATTTCTGCATGTTCGCTAATCTTTCTCAGAATTCTTTCGTGAACTGACTTAAAGTGGCAGCTTTACAGCCACCTATTTTGTCTCACAATGGTAAACTGTCCAGCCACTAAAACTCGTTTCTAGTACTCAATTTAAGTCATCCCGCCCAGTCCAAACAGCAACCAACTAAACCCTCCCTAATCATAGAATCCTGACAATTTATTACTAGAATTTTAATATCACACAAATCAACAAGGACAACTACAAAAACTGGATAGTATTTACCAAATTAAAAAGTAATATAGAAAATATAAATAAAGCGAATAGTTTGTCTCACCAATTAAGTATACCTACGTATTCTTTACCTATACTCCTTTAATCAGCATTAAAAGTTGAATATTTACTGTCTTGTCCAGTGTCCTGCAGAGTGTGCTCCTCGGCTGCCATACGCGCCAGCTTCCTCTTTAAAATGATTTGTACTGTTAGCTTGGCAATACCTGCATCAGCAGCTCAACCATTTATAAAGAAACAACATACAAGGAAGGCTGAGCTGAGGAATGCAGATGTTTATGATAGGAAGGAACAAAAATATGTAAATCATTCCTAAGGCAAACAATTAATAAGAAAAATACATTTACTGTTAGTGAAAAATACAAATGGTAATCCATACTTCATGGAGCTATGGGCTTCTTTCATGGGGAGAATGGACTTAACATTCAATATTTTGACAATTTTAAGACAGCTGAAACTGTCATTTGCAGTCTGAACTTGGAATTCACGAGTCCAGGGAAGGCAAGATCAGGAAATAAAGCCTTGTAATTGTTGTTTTCTTGGTGAATTTTATGGAACTCTGTTATGCAACTTATAAATATGAAGACTGCGTGAAAGTTTGTGAGGTGTTTCAGTTCACATAGTATATATCCGAATTAATTTAATATTTGGAAGATTTAAAGTTAGCCAGAGGTTTGTGTCTGTGTAAGAAAAAAAAGTTAATACGAACAAAGCAAGCATATGAAGAGAAAACTTCTTACTATGACTAGTAACCAGCTACTAGCTAGCACACTTCACTCCAGGCATGGAAGTTTATTCTGCATTCTAAAGAACTGATGCGACTTCTCCACATCACATTGCCAACAGCAAAAATACTTTAAAAAAAAAAAAAAAGTCATCCACCTGATCAAATGAAAACCTCTATACACGAAGCATTTGCTGACTATAGACACCTAAATTCAACTTCAATTCTTTCACAGTAAGTGTAGAATTTGCAAAACAAGTGTAATTTAATATTCTTAATATTTGTTGTAACTCAAGTGTTCCGGGGTTTTTTTGGTTTTAATTTGAAGACGTCATGTGACAGACAAGTCACATTTAGTATGAAGGGGAAAGCTTCATTGCTACTGTCTTTCCTTTCGTAAGCCAATCAAAATATTAATTTAAAATAAACTGTGTAGAAGGTATAGAGTGAAAAAGGCATTTGAGACTTAGGACTATTTAGCACAAATTTCCTTTACAGTTTAAACTTTGTCTTGAAATTTCTGGATCCTGGAATGATTGGTGCAGGCAGGCGTCAAGGCCTTTAGTAGCAAATTACTGTCTCACAGAAAGACATTTTCAGCTTCTGCTCCAGCCGCCTATTTAAAAAAAAAAACCACCAAAAAAACCCAAAAACCCAAGTCACATGTTCAGCTTGACTTCAGACAAGGGCAACCTGCTCTTTTATAAATTCTAAGGGGAAAAAAAAAAAAAAAAAAAAAAAGGAGTTGTTAGTAGTTATTAAAAATGGATATAATGATTTGGACATAGATCCTTCGTGAAGACGTGGATGGGCTTATGCTCGAAGTCCCAGAATTAGTCCAATGTATGCTCAAGGAAGATGTTCATTTTAAATGAAGAGTAAGAAACCTATTTGTTAAAGACAGGTACTGCAGCTCACTGCTGGACTCTGCTTTTTGCCTGACTGAAGGCAAAAGCCTCTTACAGTCTAGGTAAACAAAATGAAATAAATGAAGGATACATAATCACAGATTTTCAACACCCTTCCCCAAAAATGAAAGGACCGCTGATAAATCCTGCAGCCATGGCAAAAGTTTCAAACAATTCTGAAATATGTAGGTCAGTTCCATTAAAAATCAAGTATCCTTGTTCAGGTTTTAGGAGAGTAACTGTTTAAGTATCAGTGAGCTCCTCTGAATAGGCTAGAAATTAAGTTTCGCAGCAATGCAAGTTTATACGAGAAGGGAATTAGATTTGCTGTATTCCATCTCTTTCTGAACCGAACAGGAGGCACAAACCGACACTGAAAGTTTTGCCATGGACTGTCTCTACTTTCCAAACGACCGAGCGTTACCTCTCTGGCTTTTTGTGCTGCAAGTTCAGCTTGTCGCTGTCGCTCGAGTTCTTCGAGCAACTGTTTTTCCATGATGCGCTTAGCCTCCTCCACCCTGCGGAGAACCTCTCGCTCAATCTCATCCTTCCTTTTCTCCAACTCTTCTTCTACACGTTTAGCCACAAGCTCTTCCACTCTTCGAGCAGTTTCTTCCTCTATGAGTTTCTCTTCAATTTCTTGTTGACGACTACAAAATTAAAACAGGAGGATTACCTTTTTAATCCGTAAAGAATGGATGCACTGAAACAAACTCTTTCAAACACACAGCATCAGTCCCACTATTGAATCACTTTTAAACAGTTTTATACCTTATACACGCAGATCATATACTTAACGTTCTGCCCTACGTTTAAGGCAAGTGAATGTTTAGGCAATCAGCGTTCCTACCACAGGAAACCCATTCAGACCATACCATATTTAGCACCTCTCCATATCTCAAGAAACTAAGCTTAAGACAACAGCTTATCATACTACTACTTGATCATTTTTAGGGTGAAAAAAGACCCCACCTAACTTTCGCCATCTTTCACCCTTCAGGAATTCAAATGGTCTCAATTTTAAACAATGTGTGGCAATGATACCTCGTAAAATCTTAAAGCCACCACCTCAGAAGCACCAAACAAATCTCTAAAAACTAAAATGAAAGACAGAAGCAGTAAAATTTGTAATTTGAATATGTTAACAAGAATTCCAGGTGCTGTATCTGTAATCTAGTTATCCAATCATTTACCTTATCAGATTTCAAATACCTCAGCTCTCCTTAACTTCTTTCTTGCTGTACTCTGTTTCTACCGTAATTACACAGAATAAAATATACCAAGTGCTAAATAAACCCTTGCAAACTTTACAGTTTTCCATGTTCTGAATTTTGGAAGTATTTTCAAATGTCTTCTTGTCTTTGTTTTTGTTTATCTGCAGCATTATCACTTAGCCTGATCACTGTTTTAACTGAAATTGTATATATTTATTTTAAGTATACTGCAAAGTATGGAACCATCTTATAAACCTATTCTCTGGCCTGTCAGCACCAGGTATCCATGATTTAGAATAACAACTACTGTTGTAATATCCTGTCATTTTCATAATGTTTACATTTATCTTATTTATATTGAGACATACAAAAACAACGCACTTTTTTAAAAAAAGTTACAGGATTTACTAGCTTTTAGATCTCCCAGTGTACAATTTGCAAACATGCAATAGGAGATAATGAAGTATGGATTACTGTTCTAGATAAACACATGAAATACCGAGGTGAAAGGCTCCAAATTTCACCTGTTCATGTATCTTCTTTTCAAAAGTGTTCTGAACCAAGTGGATAGTCTATCTGCTTCAGTAAAAAGTTTTGGAACTTTCAACTTAAACAGAAGACAGATTTCATTCTCACATTTGTCAAGAGGTAGCAAACTTACCCAGTGGCACATGAGGCCAGCATTCACTTTTTCTGGAGCAACACAAAATACCTTCAAGTTAATTTTTTTTTTCAGAAAACAAACAAAAAAAACCACTAGACCACCATCACCACCATCCAGAAAAACGCATCAACCCCATTCTGTTAGTGCGCCTCTGCCAAGCCACTACCTACGATCAATCCTTTTTGGATACATTTTTAAATATCCTTCGCGTACTAAATACCCTTTTATTTTTAAAGGGTTTTCTTCCCTCTTATCAGTCTTTATTCAGCAGTGAGTATTCTCACCATCCTGTACTGACAGAGCTTAGCATATGTAAGAGGCTGTTCTACAAAAATAATTTTTCAGAAAGCTCATATTCACGTGTTTTATTCAACTATCTTAGCTTTACATTTAACATCAGGAAAATCTAGACTAAAACACAGCTAACTGAATAAAGATAGCACATAGTTACAAAAACATCCCTGACGCTCATGTCTGAAATAAGTTTTCAAATATCCTCAGCAACTAATGATGTCTCAAATTAAGCACTGTGCCTGCACACATTTCGTTCTTCTCACCCCAACAAATTCCACTCAAATTTAAGTAAACCAAGCAAATCTATCTTTCCACATTCATAGACAATGACAATATTACAAATATATAATACTATATATAGTGGCTCTGAGTTTATCAAGAAAAAAATCAAATTATAAACACAGATATAAATCTCCATGACTTATTCTGTAGTTTATATCAGCTCTTAATTATTTTTTTTAAATTGCATGAACTTACAGTATTTTATATACAGGTGTAAGTTTAGCATCCTGACCTACTGAGCCATGACTCCAGAGCAACAGAGAAGTTATTAATGTAAAAGTATTTTTAGTATGCTCCATTTACTTCTTAAAGACTAATTTTATAAAATTTGCAGAAAAGAAACTGCTTAAATTTCAGCAGATTTCTGAGCGAAAAAAAATCATATTTTATAAGGCCTTTATAGAAAACTAACATTATAGGAAAAAGTAGAAGTTAGGCTGTGTATTAAGATTTAATCAGATCCCGAGAAGAAGAAAGTAACTTCAATATATGAACTGCTCACTAGCTAATTCAGTCAGCAAGAAAGTACTTCTTTCCTTCACTAACACGAGTATATACTAACACACATACCACAATTTACAGATGACTTACTCAAATACCATAGTTTTCTACTCTATTAAGTTTTATTGCTTTTTCTTTGATTGGTATTTGATTGCTTGATATTTAAACTGTATTCTAGAAGCACCAAAATTCTACACCCAATCTTTTCCAATATTGTTTCTCCCTCAAAAATTTACTATCCTGTTGCCAGAATCACTCAAATGTCATATTCCTCCTATACAGACTTCATGAGTATTTTAAAATTTCAAAGCTAACTTGTATAGAAAACTTACTTGCATATGAACAGTTCCAAAATACTAAGATAAACTATTCACTGTATTCTCAAATTCTTAAGCACATTCCAATTCTTCATCGCAGATACACGTGGAATATTTTTATGAATTTAGGTACTGAATAAAATTATAAACCTCAAAAATTAGGATCAATAACTCAAAACATCTTCAATATTTTCACGTGTGTTTGTGTTAGTATGCAAGTTTTTGATGACACCACTCTCAGATTCTGAAGTTAGCAAAGGAGATTATCGACAAGCAAAAATGAAAGTGACAACTCAAGCTGATTGGGCCTTCTGATCTACAATTAATATTCATTAGAACAATATCGCCGAAATAAAACTCAAAGCTCCACCTGAGAATCAGTAGACCTACTTGGCTTCATACCTACAAACAAGTGCTATTTCTGGAGTCAGTGCCCAAATGAGCAAGGGTAATATTCAAACAAGAATCCCTTACTCCAACGGTTAAAACTATTGTTATCTCTGCTGCATAAAGCTCTCTTTCATAACTTAACAATACTCCCAAAGATCTTGATAGACACCCAACGTTCATTAAAATAGAATTTATCCCTCTCTGTAGACTTTATAAAGAACCACATTCCCCACAACCAAAACTGAAAGAGGTTTCAAATGAAACAAGTCACCGGATCTGTCTCATTTGGGAAGGAGGGAAAAAATAAAAGTAATCTCAAACCGAAAAAAGCCCCTTCTGCGTTAATATAACCGTTGTACCGCATTTCTCAGAACCCTAACTCGGGCACCTCCGGACGCGGGACAGGCTCCAGGCAAGGCGGGGAGGGGAGGGGAGGGGCAGGCAGTGTGGCGGCGGAGCACAAAGCCTCTGGGCCGCGGGGGCCTCAGCGGCGGAGAGAGGCTGAAGAGGAGGGCAGGGGAGCAGCGGCAGATCGGCACCG